GTTCCTGAAGAAGTGAACATGAAAATTAACTACCGGTCAAATATAACTGGATTGGTCAAACTGTTAAAGGATACAAAATTTACAAGTGGTCAATTGAAGTGCCTTAGAAAAATACCGTTTTGACCCTTATTTGATTGCTTGATCAGTAATGAAGTCAACCTCAACCACTGCATGAAATATAATGATGTCATTGTATGTATAGTGCAGACATTCAAGCCATCTAGTGAGAGGTTTTACATTGGGGATAAAAACATCCAGATTTTTAGAAGCGATGTATCACTGATTTTTGGGGTGGACTGCGGCACCAAGTCGATGGACCTCTCTTATGGTGCAAAACCAACAACCGACATCATACACCGAATGTGCAAGGATGTTATTCGGTTAAGTGCTGTCAAAATACGAGAAATTCTAAGCGAAGCATTAAAGGGCACAAAGAAACAAGACAATGAAGAGGTTGCAAGATTAGTTTGCATGTATGCATGCGTCAAGCTATTCTTTTCTACGTCCAGAGAAACAATTGGATGGGCTTTCTATTCATACATGAACCCATTAGACAACATGATCGAGTATGACAGGGCTGAGAGCATCCGGGCAACCCTGATGGGTTCATTGGGCCAAAACTGTGGAAAACCAGGACGAGTCACCGGATGTGTGATGTTGTTAGTGGTAAATCGCATAAAAACTTATTCTATGTTTAATATGAACATTTACGGAGTCTGTCCACTCTGATGTGAATGTTCACATTGCTGGGCAATGGTGTGGAAGTTCACATCAGTGATGTAAACATTCACATTACTGTTCAGTAATGCACAAACACACATTAGTAGACGCTGGTGTAAACATTCACATCAGTGTAGATTGATGTGATGTTAGCACCAAAACAAATGTGGAACATTCACATTACTGATGTGAATGTTCACATTACTAAGCAATGGTGTGGAAGTTGACATCAGTGATGTAAACATTCACATTACTGTTCAGTAATGTACAAACACACATTAATAGACACTGGTGTAAACATTCACATCAGTGTAGATTGATGTGATGGTAGCACCAAAACAAATTTGGAACATTCACATTACTGATGTGAACATTTACATTACTATGCAATGGTGTGGAAGTTGACATCAATAATGTGAACATTCACATTCCTGTTCAGTAATGTATAAACATACATTATTAGCCACTGGTGTAAACATTCACATCAGTGTTAATTGATGTAAACATTCACATTATTGGCCACTGGTGTAAACATTCACATCAATGTTAATTGATGTGAACATTCACATTACTGGCCACTGGTGTAAACATTCACATCAGTGTTAATTGATGTGAACATTCATATTACGGATATTTGTTATTTGTTTCAGTACTGGTTGTGTGAGCATACAACAATCTTACAACCCCGCAACCCCAATGCCATTCCGCGATGTGTAAAGTGGTACCTCACAGCCTTACATACCAACATGAAGTCCATATTTTTGGCTAAGTTTGGTTTAAATGAGATAGAAGTACAACAAAAAATATTGTGCCCATTGACATAGTGAGACAAGGAACTATCTAACTAACATAATGTCTCCAACTGCAGGTAAATGGCAGTGAGCTAATGGCATCCCCAACTGAAGCGAAGATGTACCATCATACAAATTTGAATGTGGAGCCCAAACCTGAGGTTTTGTCAAGTGCACCAGCCAAGAAAGATGAAAGCAATGATGATGAAAGCAAAGACAGTCAATGCAGTGACGACATGGATGGATTTTCTGTTGATGCAATGGACCTAAATGATGTTGGACATGACACCAACCCCAACTTTAACACCCCCAATGCTGAGAGAGGTATCATCATAGCACAACCAACTGAGCCGGACATTGTGGATGTACTTATAAAAGAAAACCAAAAAGCTTGGGGTCTTGTACGATAATGGGAAGCAAAATACAAATAGTTGGAAGAATCATGGGAGTTGAGGGCAATGGTGATTGCTGCCTTTGAAGCCAAACTATTTGACCAATCGGGCCTATCCAATATGGACATGGACATCAAGAATTGTATGGAGTGGAAAGATACAGAAATTCAGCGGCTGACAAAGTTGGTCATCAACTTGGAATGTGAAAAAACAATTCTTCAAGACCTTTTTGACGATCAGCCCGTCCACATTATCACTCAAGTTGAAGCACAAAAGGCTCATGATAGCCTTAAGAAGAAACCCACTGCAGCATTGGAACACATTATCAGCCCACCATCGAGGGTAAAGCGCATCAAGCAGGGGGTAAAGCGCATCAAGCAGAAGGTAAGGAAAGAGCACCGGTTGGATGAGTTTGAATACCCCAACTTGCCTGGTCAAAAGAAAGGGAAAAAGGGAGCTGAAGAGCAATCTCATGCAGTCCAAATTGCACAAGATTTAGACAAGCATCCACAAAAAAAACACCCAACAAAGTACATGAAGTTAACCTTGAACAACAAACTGAAGGTTTGGGCCAACATGAGCAAACTCAACAAGCAGAAGGTCCAAAATTTGGACAAGAACGGCGGTGATGAGTAAGTGATCTTACATATCCCCAACTGAATTTTTTTTTTTTTACTCATGTTTAGTTCACATACATACTTAATAAATTAGATCATTTCATAAATGTGCAATGTTGACATTAACGTTTCCTGTAATCACAATGCATAGGTTGCTAGTGTGGCGAGGGGACTCAAAGACTAAAGATGTGTATTTTGATGACATCATACACATCATCAAGGAAGAATCAATAACCAACAACGTATGGCAATTGTAAATGTGTACAAAACACACACACACACTGTAAAGACACTGCAAATAATTTACTACCACCCTTCTGTTTCTGCAGGTGATAGATGCATATGATGAAATTCTACTTGAACTACAAGGGCTAGTAAACCCAAGTTTGGAGGATTCAGTATGCATCTTTACAAGCACATGTTTGGTAACCACTAAACTTTTGGTTTGTTTATGTTTCAATAGATGTCAATGTTCATCTCAACATTATATGCTTATATTGTTAACTTAAATGATAAGCATATGTGAATGTTAACAACAACATAAAATGACAGATCTGAACATTCACATTGACAGATGTGAACATTAACATCATTCGCAGTGAACATTATATGCTTATTATGTTGTTAACTTAAATGATACACAGATGTGAATGTTAATAACAACATAATATGACAGGTGTGAACATTCACATCTGTAATACATTACATGACTGTTTCACAAATTAATAGATGTAAACATTCACATCATTCACATCACTCATTATTAATAGATGCGGACATTCACATTATTCACATCACTCACCATTAGCAGATGTGAACATTCACATCATTCACATCACTCATTATTAATAGATGCGGACATTCACATTATTCACATCACTCACCATTAGCAGATGTGAACATTCACATCATTCACATCACTCATTATTAATAGATGCGGACATTCACATTATTCACATCACTCACCATTAGCAGATGTGAACATTCACATCATTCACATCACTCATTATTAATAGATGCGGACATTCACATTATTCACATCACTCACCATTAGCAGATGTGAACATTCACATCATTCACATCACTCATTATTAATAGATGCGGACATTCACATTATTCACATCACTCACCATTAGCAGATGTGAACATTCACATCATTCACATCACTCATTATTAATAGATGCGGACATTCACATTATTCACATCACTCACCATTAGCAGATGTGAACATTCACATCATTCACATCACTCATTATTAATAGATGCGGACATTCACATTATTCACATCACTCACCATTAGCAGATGTGAACATTCACATCATTCACATCACTCATTATTAATAGATGCGGACATTCACATTATTCACATCACTCACCATTAGCAGATGTGAACATTCACATCATTCACATCACTCATTATTAATAGATGCGGACATTCACATTATTCACATCACTCACCATTAGCAGATGTGAACATTCACATCATTCACATCACTCATTATTAATAGATGCGGACATTCACATTATTCACATCACTCACCATTAGCAGATGTGAACATTCACATCATTCACATCACTCATTATTAATAGATGCGGACATTCACATTATTCACATCACTCACCATTAGCAGATGTGAACATTCACATCATCACTGTTACCCAAATCTGTTATCCACATTTAAGACAATTTAGTATCAATAGATTTTACATATTGGAGCAGACTAGCTTAATTGTAAATCAAGTCTATATCACTGCTTGTACGGATATTTTTCAGTCAATATATGTATATGCATTTTAAGGCCTATTTTGCGTTGGTTATGCACATTGAGATTGTTTTTTTTTTTTTTTGACACATGACATGATGTGAATGTTCACATCACAGAATGATCATACATTTTCTTATGTTTTAAACCATACTACATTAATGTGAATATTGCTTAAAGTGTTCATGTAACACGATATGACAAGTGTGAATATGATATTTCTTAACAAAAGCCAATATTCACATCTAATAATTTGATGATGTGAATATTCACATCATAAATTCTGATTATTTGAATGGCAGCAACAATGTCATGAATATTCACATCTTATGAGTTGATGATGTGAATGGTTATATTGATATAAACATTCATGTCATCTACTTTGATGTTGTTAACAGTAACAAGAATGTGAACATTCACACCACAGAAATGTTTAAAAGTTCAACCCATGTGCAATTATTCACATAATGTGATTATATTACACAAGTGTGAATGTTAACATCATGCATTCATCCAAAACACAACAACATAAACGTCAGATTGGTACCTTAAAAAATTAAAAATAAAACACAAATCAAATACTAATGCATTATTATGTTTGCCAACGCAACGTAATGTTATTGCAACACAATGTTTGCCAACACTACACATTCTTATTTCAAAAATGAATATAAGAATCCAATGTAAAACACAATGTTGAAATGAAAAATGTACATCCTATATCGGCTCCGTGCATGATTTCCGATTATGGCTTCCCAACTTATCACATCTCTCGCACCTTATTTGCTTCAGTTTCTCACCCCTTGATGGGATCCTATTCTTTTTCAGCCTTCCGGGTGGTCTTTTCACAGTTGGCGGGTATATAGTGAAGTCTGTGGGATCAAAAGACAGCTTCTCCACCGATGGTATAGGGAATATGGCACCCAAATAGGCTACACGATATGTCTCTACATGAAAGTAATGTTCCACACAATCATTAAGATTGTAGCGACTCTTCTGAATAATAATAACAGCATGGTCACATGGGAATCCATTGATTTGCCATTTGAAGTAAGAACATGTACGCCTCGCAACATCAACTGTAACAGATGGTATCGAATAAACTTCAAACACATTCTCATTGGCTTTGCTAACTTGCCAAGACCTGTTGTCATTGAACGAATCCATAAGCCTTGTTTCGAATGTAGGACAAATAAGCTCATTCCATTTGTTTGCTTGGTCATGCCGTGCAGACATTTGCCGCATCAACTGAGTACGAATTGTGTCCACCATTTGAATAATAAGAAGATTACGTGTTTCTTTAATCCAGTTATTAAATGACTCCGCCGTATTGGATGTCATCTTTCCATAACGCATGCTCCTGCACAATATCACAAACATTGTACAATACGGAATTTAACAGGTCTGAACATTCACGTTGACAGATGTGAACATTAACATCATTCGCAGTGAACATTATATGCTTATTATGTTGTCAACTTAAATGATAGACATATGTGAATGTTAATAACAACAAAATATGACAGGTATCAACATTCAAATCTGTAATACATTGCATGACTGTTTGACAAATTAACAGATGTGAACATTCACATCAGTCATCTTTAGCAGATGTGAACATTCACATCATTTTCATTGAACATGAAACACAATTGGAAGATTGTTATCATTCTAAACTGAAAATTCACATCGCTACCATTTTAAACTTGACAAATGGAACACCTTAGGAAACTATTATTACCTGAAGTATGCATTTGCCCAGTGCTCAGGTGCCAAGTCCTTGAAAAAATTATGAGCTCGTTGTTTATCCTCCTCTTTTAATTTTGCAAGCTTTTCATGGAACCCTACCACAGTTGGCTTGTAAGCATAGTCACCCAAACTACTTACTAGGTGATCCCTGAAGCCATTATCAATTCCTTTCATCCGGTCTCTTAAATTGCTCTTCAAGTGTTGTAAGCAATAACAGTGATGAGCCGATGGGAACACCTTCGGCATAGCTTCTAACAGGCCAAGATTACGATCCGAAATAAAAGTAATCTGGCGCTTACCATCAACAACCTTCCCAAGTTCATGCAAGAACCACGACCAATTGGCCGTGGTCTCTGAATCAACAATCGCAAATGCAACAGGAAACAGACCTACAATACAACACCAATACACAACTGTTCACAGTATTCCAAAGTGAATAGAAAACAATATAAATGAAACAGGTCATGTGAATGTTTACATCTACATTGCCCTATTACTATTGTTTTTTTTTGGATTCAAGTTCATAAACATTAATAATGTGAACATTCACATTAACGACCATTAATAATTCATTGTTGATTGTTAAGTCATTGATAATGTGAACATTCACAGTACTGTTCATTAATGGATCAACTGACATTAGTATACACTGATGTGAACATTCACATCAGCGTATAATAATGTGAATGTTCACATTACTGTCATTAGCAGACATAGATGTGAACATTCACATCAGTGCATACTAAATGTTCACATTACTTATAATTTCTCAATCACTCATTTGTCCAGACTATGCTACTCAGAGTGAATATTGACATGAATAGGTAGCTAAAAAAAATACTAACCATTGTTTCCATTTTTCGCCGTTGTCGCAAGTAGCTGACCTTTGTACTTTCCTTTGAGGAATGTTCCATCCAGGAATAATAAAGGCCGACATGAATTGAACCCAGAAATACACGCAACGAATGACACAAAGAAACGACAAAACTGTTGACTACTTGCATCATAGTCAATATTGACATAACTCCCTGGATTGTACTGCATCACAGCATCCGAATACCACCGCAACTGGTCAAATGATAATGAGTGATCTCCATGAATACCAGTCTTTGCTTTCTCCACATCCAACCATACGACATGGTAACTCACATCTAGCCCATAATCCCTCTTCAAAATAGTCACCACCTCACACAGCTGAGTCAACGGCTTGTCCCTCACAATTTCAGATATGGTACTCGACACCAAATCCGAACTAACTCGCGGATTCTTCGATGTTCGGACATCTGTACCACAACTATGCACATCACTAAACCTCTTGATGTAGAAAAAACCATTTGCTCATTGTGCTTTACAATGTATAGCCCACAAGCAGCCTCTCTCCTCACTCATCGCACACACAGCAGTAACTCTTGTTGTCTCATTCTTAACATACGTAAACTGAAACCCACATTGGATGGCATACTTACATAAACCATCACCAAATTCTTGTGCATCTCCAACAAACCGTTGTCCTACATGCGTAATACCATTTGCCCAAGGGGCTGACAATAACACCTTCTCCTTATGGTGGCAAAATCTCTGTAGTACATCAATATCTTCCTTAACCCCCACACTCAGCGATCCCGAGCTACTTGACTGACCAATATCACTTTTCAACTCAACCACAACTTCTACATGTTGTACCCCCATTGATTTAGCAAGCAGTAACATGTTCTGAAATTCTTCCTCATTGTCCAAATCATACCTATTAATCCCAGGTAACCGACAGAACAATGAAATAGAACCAGTAGACAACTCCCCACATTTTTCACACAAACAGTCCACCAAACGCGAATAACACAATGCGCGGGCAACATATATTACAGTTTTACTGCAACCATATGTACACACCAACATCATAAAGGTATCCATCTCCTGTAAAAACACAACAATACAACAATCAACAATAATCCAAACCAATATGAAAATTCACATTGTGCAAAAATTAGATGACTACGTGTACAGTTCAAGTGTTAAATCCACAATTCATATTAACAAGATGTGAATATTCACATTGATACATATCCTCTGAATTATATCACCCACACAGAGCCTCATTAAGCAAACATCAAAGTAAAGTGAGAACATCCACATTCTTCACATAATATTAACACGATGTAAACATTTACATTGACACATATACTCTGAATTATATCACCCATACAGAGCCTCATTAAGCAAATATCAAAGTAAAATGCAAACATCCGCATTCTTCACGTAATACTAACACGATGTAAACATTCACATTGTTCCACATACTCTGAATTATAGACGATCCACATTCATCACTAATCTGATGACCTCCCCTCCACAGGAGCATGATATAAACATTCACATTGATCCATATACTCTGAATTATATCACTTACACAGAGCCTCATTAAGCAAACATCAAAGTAAAATGCAAACATCCACTGATGCATGTAATTGAAAAACCAGAGCATCCGATCCATAGCAATAAAAAAACAGAGCATCTGATCCATCATAGAAATCAAAACATAAAGTGAACATGTATTCATAACCAAAATGATACTAACCTTAATCATGCAATCCTACAATTGTCCAGAAACTCGAAAACAACCACTTTGAAGTAGTTATACTCCAGAAAATGTGAAAATCGAACAATATGAAATTCGTCGTCTTCACTTGAAAATCACCGAACCAGAGCAACAATGAAACCCTAGCACATCAAAGCCTCAGAACGAGCATGCAAGATAGAAACGGGTATCCATTTGAATTAGAATGATAAAAACTGTCAAAACTGAATTCACGAAATCACAGGGAACGTGTTATGTATTAACACAGGATATATATATATATATATATATATAAGGGCATAATAGTCCAAGTAAAAATATAAAATTAGAAAAATGGACTTTATGGAATAAAAAGAAAAGTACATGGGACTAATCAGGTTATAATATTCCTTTGTGGATTTAATGGGTTATAACAACTCTAAGATGGATTTATCAATAAAAATTTTAAAAAAATCATCTCTTTTTTTTAAATTTATTTAGAAGAACAATACTATCCTTAAAAATTATTTTAAAAAAATCAAAATCAAACCAACCCTTATTCTTAATTTTATGACACATCTAAAAATTTGGACTAATTACAAGCTACAAAAACATTTCACGTGGCTTTTGAAAATATACTAACCTATCATTTTATCCAATAACTTAAAAAAAGACAGAATAAATATTTATAATAATAATAAAAAAAAGAAGCTAGGTCTTTTCTTTTTTTTTTTTGGGTTTTCTAAAAGTATTCTCATACTTGCTTCTGTCTTCACAAAAAACAATCCAAACAAAACTTCTATTAAAGAGATGACTGATAAAGAATATGAGACACATCAAGAAAAAAAATAGAGAAAATACAATATAATTATCACTATTAACTGTTGAATTGCCTTACAAATCATTTTTATGATTACTGTGAGGTCACTTATTACCATACACTTCTGCCAAAAAAAAAAAGATAAAAGTTGAAAAACTTAAATTCTTATGAATTACATTTACTTTGAATGTAACCTCATATTACATTAACTATATATATAAATTGGGGATAAAATTTCCAGATTGTATATTTTTTTTTGAAATTTTGGTCAGGGATGATGATAATGAAGGCAGAGTCTGAGAAACACACAAAGAGTCATGTGGAGGAGAGTCACCCAGTTGCCCTCTCTGATTGGATGTGGTTTGGATGGAATGCGTCCTCGCCACCTCCAAACTCTGTTTCTCTCTCCTCCCAATTTTGTCTTCATCCTTCCCTCCTCTTATATACTTCATCCATTTCTCTCTCTCTGTAAACATTAATCCTCCTCCACTTGCCTCTTTTTGCATGCACTCTTCTCAATTGTCCTAAGGTTTGCTTCCCTCTATACTTACTCTGCCTCCTCTCTTTTTGTTCTATACTTGTACATGTTACAGAACTACCATCCTCAATATGAATGTATATTTCATTATTCAATGGGTCTGATGCTAATTAGTGTTCAACTGAAATTCAATCTTTACTTATCTTCCATGATCAATAATAGTTGAGACACTATTCATTCCAGGTAAGGCATATGTAGTTCAATTTTGCATATACTTTCCTGCAGGCTATGAATAGTTTTTCAAAATCTAAAGACTATTTTATATGATGAAACATGTATGTGTCCTATACAGTTTTTTTTTTTTTTTTTTTTTTTTTTTTTTTTTTTGGTTTTGAGGTTTTATTGGGCTTGCCGTGGATCGTTTATTTTTGCAGCTCATTCCCAATGTTAACTTATATCTAGTTCGGATTGAGCACACAAATTGTTTGATGAATTGTTTCTGGAAACCGTTCTTACATAAAAACAGTTTTGTTTTCAAATTCTTGAAAAAAGTTTTTGCATAAAAATGAAAACAATACGAAACGATGGATGTTTTTGAACTTTCTATTGTTTTTGTTTCCGAGAACATGAAAACGATATGAGACAATGGATTTTCCATGTTGCACTTGTATGAGTATCAGAACCTCGACCTATGCTTCTATTTTTATTAATCTGATCATCATATGATCTAATTTCTCTTCATGGGTGCCTCAGTAAGATCTTATTATTTTATAGAATTGATTCTGAATTTGAGAGCTGTAGAATATTTTAGTAATTCTTGTTGAATGACTTTATATGACAATCTGATATCCATAAATTGTCATGTTAAATCAAGATTTTCTGAGGGATTTATAGCACAAAGCATCAACAGTAACTATGGAGATAACCAATGTCATGGAGTATGAGCCCATTGCCAAGCAAAAGTTGCCAAAGATGGTGTTTGACTATTATGCATCAGGGGCGGAGGACCAGTGGACTTTGCAGGAGAACCGGAATGCTTTCTCAAGAATTCTGTAAGATTCCTATCTTGCTTCAAAATTTCCATAACCCTGACCTGAGAAGAATAGACCAGTACACGACATGGACACGAAAATTTTCAAAAAATGAATGGCACGACTATAATTATATATATTATGTCACATTTTTTAATATTATATATTTATTCTTATCAAATTCATCAATGTTGGGTATGTTATTCCGGTGAGAAAAAAAAAAAGAAAAGAAAAAAAGGACACCGTGTGTCCCAACATATACCCAGCATATCCAATTCCTCCAAAGTGTCTGAGACGTATCCAGCACATGCCCTTCGGAGTGGTGTCCGTGCTTTGTGGACCTGTCATAGGAATTGGACAATTCTTCTACATATATGAATTTCTTTTTGGTATTTGACACCTTCTACATATATGAATTTCTTTTTGGTACAAATGTACATGTCATCTGAAGTAGACTGTTTCAATGCAATGCATTATCCAGGTTTCGACCCCGTATTCTTATTGACGTGAGCAAGATAGACATGACCACCACTGTCTTGGGCTTCAAGATCTCAATGCCTATCATGATTGCCCCAACCGCCATGCAGAAAATGGCTCATCCTGAAGGTAAACAATTTTTTGGGTCTCTGGTTTATTTTTTATTATTATTATTTTTTTTTATAGTTGAAGTAGAACCTCTTAATCTCATTGATTAATAAATGACTGATTAATTTGGGTATCAATGATATGCCAGAATTTTTGTTGATCTAAGTATTCAATCATTATGTATTTTGTTTCCATCAATGCTTACAAGCAAAGTTGTCCCTAAACATATGATATTACAGTTAATTGATCATATTACTTCAAATTTGTAGTGCTCCTTTCGGTTCTTGAGAACATATAGGAACAGGAGTGCATTTGTTTTCACAAATGAAGCACCAGGGTCTAGTTAAGAACTTGATTGACAATATGGTTGATTTTGATCTAGTGCAGCTAATAACTGAGTTGGAGTAAAAAAATTTAATTCATGTCTATTATTTAAAACAACGTGGTTTTTAGTCTGATTAGTAATGACATGTCTTAATTTTCCTGCAGGAGAGTATGCAACAGCTAGAGCCGCATCGGCAGCTGGCACAATTATGGTTAGCTTCTCACCTTTTATATAATTAAATTTTCATCTTAGGCACCACCTGGTCACCAGATATTTCAAGACATCAGACTTTCACAAAGAACATTATTTTCAACTTCAGCAGCCATTTGTGAAGACTGAGTAATGTTGATTGTTATTCAAATCTAAAACTATGAGGATCTTTATTTATTGTTTTGCTATGCTTCAGTGCTGTTAAGATTCAAGATGGTTGTATGCTTCACTCCATTTATGCATCCATCTTTGGTTATTTCAGACATTGTCCTCATGGGCCACTTCCAGTGTTGAAGAAGTTGCTTCAACCGGACCTGGAATCCGCTTTTTCCAGCTTTATGTAAGTTTTTAGATAATATTCATAATTTTCTGTTCTACACTTCTATTTCCCCACACAGCAAACCTCAAAACCCCCCCCCCCCCCCCCCCCCCTTCTCTTAAGGTCGAATTTTATCTAAGTGAGAATTATGTTGCTTCCAATCTCAGGTGTATAAGGACAGGAACGTGGTTGCTCAGCTTGTGAGGAGAGCTGAAAGGGCTGGCTTCAAGGCTATAGCCCTTACAGTTGACACCCCGAGGCTGGGTCGCAGAGAAGCTGATATCAAGAACAGGTGCACACTTTAATTCCAACATTGTTACAACAGTCTTGCTTATGAGGTCAAGCTATCTTTCGACTCAACTATATCACTTCAGCTTTAAAGAGTCAAAGCTTTATAGGTTAGACTTTACTCTGTGAAGAACGCTTCTAAGTGATTTTCCTACAGATTTACTTTACCACCATTTTTGACATTGAAGAACTTCGAGGGCTTGGACCTCGGCAAGATGGATGGAGTGAGTGGCAAACATACCCGTCACTGATTAATATATATTGCACCAACTTATTATTATTAATTTTTTCCATTCTGTCTTATTTTCGTATCTGGTTAACTTTAAAAATAAAAATAAAAAACTATGTTAAAATTTTCTACTTTTTAGGTCCATTTAGACTAGACGACCCTTGAAATTAAAAAAAAATATATATATAAAAAGATAATAAAACAAGTTAAACTTAGTTTATTTTTGTCTAATCTGAACTTTTTTCAAAAGTTGTATACCTTTTTTTACAAAAAATTTAGGATAGTCCAGTCTATATGGACCAAAAAAGTAACATATTTTGACTCAAAGTTGAAAAAAGTTCACTAAATAAAAAATAAGCCTAAAAAATAGCACAATTTATTAACTGCAACCAAAAGAACCCTTACGAGATTTTTCTCACTGTATTATTGACTGTTTTATGGGACTGTGCAGAGTGATGACTCTGGACTAGCTTCATATGTGGCTGGTCAAATTGACCGTTCTCTGAGCTGGAAGGTATGTTAGTTGGGGCATAATATGTAGTTGGTTGACATGAACTTGTTCACTATACATAAGCCCGTGTTTAAAGATTGCCTTAAAAAAGAGTATTCCTTTTGAATAATCTCTTTCTGGATACGGATAGGATGTGAAGTGGCTTCAGACAATCACTACACTGCCAATCCTAGTGAAGGGTGTACTCACTGCTGAGGATGGTAAAAACAACATGGTTTTTAATTATTTATTTTTGGTTTTTACAATTGGATGCTTAAATGATTCTTTTAACTGGCAATGCAGCGAGGCTATCTATACAAGCTGGAGCAGCTGGTATTATCGTCTCTAATCATGGTGCTCGCCAACTTGATTATGTCCCTGCCACTATCATGGCTCTGGAAGAGGTATCTGAACCTAAAAGTAATTTATTATCTGTTCATCTTTTTGTTTACATGGTGAAATCAACTGAATTTGTATTTAATCTTTTAGGTTGTGAAAGCTGCACAAGGCCGTGTGCCTGTATTCTTGGACGGTGGGGTTCGCCGCGGAACAGATGTATTCAAAGCCTTGGCACTTGGAGCCTCCGGCATATTTGTAAGTATAATACAGTAGGAACTCGAGTTTCATTTAGTGCCAAGGAAAAGTAAATTACATTTATTTTCATGAAAAATATATATATTTTCTCTTTTATACAGAGTGACCGAAGGGAAAAATATAAGTAACAAATATTATTTATGGATTTTCTAATATGATAAAGCCATTCATAATTAGAAAAATCATGGCCTAGATAATACAACTCCGAACAAGCTTATTTTAAGTATGTGGTGACAATCATAATGTTATGATTGAAAAAAAAATTTGGTCAGTTGATAGTAAATAATACATTAATTGCCCCAATTTTGTGGGGACTTGAACATTCATACTTTCCGCATACTTTTTTTGACCTGCACAATTTGAGTTTTCTATAAACAGACAAATTGTTTTTGGAATTTGATTTATGTAATCAATTACATGGATAAGCCGAGCACTGTTTGTTATATCTATTCAATCCTTCCTAATTCTGCTCTCTGTCATAACATTCATGTGTTCGTGGTCTCAATATCAGATTGGAAGGCCTGTGGTGTTCTCGTTGGCTGCTGAAGGAGAAGCTGGTATCAGAAAAGTACTTCAAATGCTGCGCGATGAGTTTGAATTAACCATGGCATTAAGTGGCTGCCGTTCTCTAAAAGAAATCACCCGTGATCACATTGTGGCTGATTGGGACATTCCTCGCCCCATTCCGAGGTTGTGAATACCTGTAGCAACTTATGGCAGATTGATTGATGGAAAGCGATCAAGTTTGTGGGTTCAAAAGCCTGCCTTTGCGTTGGAAAACTCATTTCTATTTCAATGAGTGTACTTATGTTCTGAAAATGTTAATCTTTTGAAATACTGGTGAATGGATGGACATGTTTTTCATTTATAAATGATAGCAGCTGCGTTGTATACTATTTCTTTAACAAAATCATATTTATATAGCTGGCAAAACTTCTCATGGTCTATGGTAGTTTAGTTGGTTATATGGTGTCAAGTGAATATATTCACTTCAATATATATATATATTACAGTAGAGGAGAAAATATATACATATTTCTTTCACATATATAAATAATTCAACTATTGAACGAATATTTTGGCCATAAAACTTACTCTTATGTTATTTTTCCATAATGGTTGAGATTGAAATAAATTAAAAGATTAGGGGAATAAAATGTAATAATTTTTGACTGAGGAGATAAAGTGATAATGACCCATAGTTTCGAGGTAAGTGTAATTTGTCTAATTTTTCATTTTTTTGAAAATAGATGAGTGGTTTTTTTTTATTATTTAATAATTCGATATCCGGTCTACTGGGTTGACTAAGTGGGAGGATCAATCACACCGTTCACTATCGGGGGTTCAATTAAAACCGGAGTAAAATATATAAGTAGGTTAATAATGATCCATGATTGGGGATTGAACTGCAACTAATGTGAAAGACCTTAAGTTTAATTAAAAATTTGTTTTTATAGTGTCATTTTAAATTTGAGACTGTAGTTTGAAAAAAAATTAAAAAAAAAAAAATCGGCTAATGTTTAAAATTCGTTGTTTATATTTGATAAAAATAAATATAAAAAATAAATTTAGTACATGTATTTTTAAAAACAAGTTATAGAAAGTGATCAAAGGCAATGCTGATCAAAATCGATTAATGGTTGGTAGTGATTGTAACAGTGGTGGTCGGAAGAGGTTGTGGATGACCATAGCAGTGGAGTAGATGCAAAGATCCACGGTAGTAATTGTTAGAAATGGTTTTAAAAAAATTAGATTTTTTTTTTAATTTTTGTCTATTTTTTAGGTGGAACCCATGCAGTAAAGTTAGTGGGTCTAAGTGGTTAAGTGTTCTATGCCGCGTTGTGATTCACATAGTATATTTGGTTGCTCAAAACTATTATTGGGTGAATGAAAAATTGAAGTTAAAGTGAGCTTTATGGAAATAGAGTTTTGGTGGAAATTCCTTAAGGGTTTGAATTAAAGGCTTGTCCTACATTAGTTTGGCGGACAAAAGGATTATAAAGCTTGAGTTTATAACTTGGAGAAGGCCCCAAGGGCACCCAAAGTTTGTAGAAGGGAGATGTTATGGGCTGGGCTAGACCCATTGGATCCAAAAATAAATGCACGCGTGTGCCGCTGCCATCCGTCCGTCCGGGCTAGCTTCGGTACGGGTGAGGTTAGATTGGGCTTGTCTAACCCAATATCTTTTTGGGCAAAAAACATTTAAATTTATTTTATTTGGTTGGAAATAAAATCTGTCCGTTTTTATTTCAAATTTTGGTTTGCACCTATTCAGAAATTCTGTACAGTTTCATATCTGTCCAAACAAATCTGAATCTGTTCAAATTCAAACCCAAAATCTGTTTGAAATTCAAACCAGATTTGTCCGAACAGGTACCATACCTATTGGATTTAAACCAAACAGTCACCATTTTCATCTATAAATAGGCAGTCCTTCAATTGATGTTTTTACTTGAATTTTCATCCAAATTCTACCATTGCCCTCTTTGCATTTTTGCTACATTATTTTCTTGTGAGAAAGAGTAAATACTGTAAACACAAAATGTGTTCGTTGTGCGAATAATTTGTAATGTTGTTATTATTCGTAGTTGATCATTTTATCTTAGGAGATAGACGTCCATAATCTGAAAGTACCGTGGAGAGGACGAATCTGTCTTAAGGACACAGTGTTAAACACTAGACTTAATCAGAATTTGCTCAATAAATACATAAAGTTAGTAATTAATTTACTTTCTGTTTTATTTATTTATTTTTATCAGATTCTGATTTTGTTTTTTGTAACAAAATAAGAATCGATTGTTTTATATTATTTTCTTTACTGGTTTGATTTTTGTAATCAAACAGTCTCTTTCCTTTTTTATTTCTTCTATTTATTGTTAAGTATACAAATATTATTTATTGTTAATACAGTGAAGATTGTTCAACAATCTTAAGACAAACCAATTTTGGTGTTTTCATTGTATTTATTTTTCTATGTTTTCACAAAGTGATATTCTAGTTGAAAAATACAAATAGTAGTAATATACTGTTTATTTTCTTTGACAATTAGTAGTAATATACTGGTGTCATTAATATGGTATTTTATTTTTCTAGTTTTAGTAATAAGAAAAGTAAAATTATTTTGTGTTATAATTTATTTTCTGGTTTTAGTAACTAGAAAATTAATTTGGTTTTGGTTTTTTCTGATTTTTTGTAATTAGATATTATGGCTGCTGAAAGTAATACTCCAAATCTGATTGTTACAATGACTTCGGTCCCCATCCAGAACCATGTTCAAGTTCCTATAAATCATGGAGAAAAACGGAAAAAATTTAATGGCACCAAGTTTAAGAGATGGTAGCAGAAAATGTTGTTTTATCTTACAACTCTAAATCTTGTCCGGTTTCTCCGTGAAGAGGCTCCAGTACTTAGAGAGGATAAAAGTGATCGGCAAGTTGTTGCCGCTGTAGATGCTTGGAAACATTCTGATTTTCTATGCAGAAACTACATCCTCAATGGCCTTAACAACATGTTGTATAATGTTTACAGCCCTTTGAAAACAACAGAAGAGTTGTGGGATTCTTTGGAGAAAAAATACAAGACAGATGATGCCGGCACAAAAAAATTTGTTGTTGGTAAATTTCTGGACTTCATTATAGTAGACTCCCAAACGGTAATTTCTCAAGTTCAAAATTTTCAATTAATTTTGGATGATATTTATGCTAAGAGTATGCCTCTGAGCGAGTCTTTCCAAGTCGCTGCGTTAATGAAAAAATTACCACCGGCTTGGAAAGATTTCAAAAATTATTTAAAACATAAACGCAAGGAGATGACTATAGATGAATTGATTGTAAGACTAAGAATTGATAAAGATAACCGTAAAGCTAAAAAGAGGAATGGTAAAAATCCCATTGAGTCTAAGGTTAATGTGGTTGAACATGTGCCCAAACTACATAACAAAAAGAAGAAGTTTGCTAGAGATGGTCCTAAACAAGGCGACAACAATGACAATAAAAAGTTCAAAGGTAAATACTATAACTATGGCAAGACCGGACATCGAGCCTCTGATTGCCGCCGCCCTAAGAAGGATCGTAGAAATACAAGCAAGAAGACTACCAATCAAGCCAATGTGACAGAACTTGATTACATCTCTGACGAGATAAATGACATCAATCTCTCTGTTGTGGTGTCTGAGGCTAATTTGGTTGGAAATCCCAAGGAATGTGGGTTGACACTGGGACAACTCGACACATTTACGCGGACAAGAAGATGTTCACTACTTATAATGAGGCTACAAATGGTGAGCAACTATTCATGGAAAATTCATCTACTTCTGCTGTGGCTGGACAAGGGAAAGTAGTCTTAAAGATGACATCGAGGAAGGAACTGACACTCAACAACGTACTGCATGTACCAGACATCCAAAAGAATTTAGTTTCTAGTTCTTTGTTAAGTAAAAATGGTTTTAGGCTTGTTTTTGAGTCTGATAAATTTGTATTAATAAAGAGTGGTATGTATGTTGGTAAGGGATTGTAGAGACCCTAATGTTTGGTAACTACACTTGAAACCCTACGCCTTAGGTTAATAGTATTTTAGCCCCTAATTCCATAAAAGTCTGCGTAATGGCCCAATAAAGAATAATTTTAAATCCTAGAATACCACTTTGTAATTGGAAATACCCTAACACTTGGCTTTATTTGTTTTACCTCTCAGTTTCTAAATTAATTCATACATTTTATTTATTTAATTATTTTTTAGCCTAGTTGCATATTTACTAATTCTTTGAATCTTTATTATTTATTTGAGCAAATAAATAGCCTTAAATATCTTTAAATAAATATTTTTATTATTTATTTTAATATTTATTTGAGCAAATTAGTGGAAAAATATCTAGATATTTATAAGTTTTCTTTGTTATTAAGCTAGAAGGTTAGAATGGTCTTTTTAACCCAAATTCATGGCCTATAAATTGAGATCATTGTCTCAATTTCCACTCCCACGTTCAGCAGCACAAGGAGAGGGTGAGAGTGGGAGAGTGTGATTAGGGGAAGTAGAGAAGAAGGAAAAAAAAAAAAAAGGAAATGAAGAAAATGTGACTCAAGAAGGTAAGAACGCATCTCTCTTCTCTTCTTCAATTCTTTCACCCATCTCATCCTATTGTTTAAATGCCCTATTGTGTTGCATATTAATGTTAAATAGGGTTTTTGGTGTGTATGAAAGTGTGGGTTTGAGCTAGTGACATTGTCTTGCAAATTTGTCAAATTAAGCACTGCTGTAACTTCTCTAATTTAAAAGAAATATCAAATTTATTTGTTTCTCAAATCTGAATTTAGTGTAGGCTATTTGGTGTGTTTAGAGCTTGTGATAATTTTATTAGCCCCTAATTGTGTGTTTTTAGGGCTTGGATATTGTGTTTAAAAATCTGGCCCTAAGTCTCTGAAAAACAGTCAACTTCTTTCAATTTTATAAAATTCTAGAAAAATCATCCCATATTGGTTCTTCTGTCACAATTTATAATTCTGAGTCCTCTTTCCAATAGAATTTATTTGGGTGAAAATCATTGGGTAGATTGAGAGGAAAGCTAGTTTTCCTAAAGGGTGACAAATCTGGACAGGTTTTCGAATATAGCTTGTAAGTGAATTTCTGGAGATGCTGTGCAAATTCTGAGAATTGGAACTGAAACTAGACAGGTTGATTATTGTTTCTTGCAATTTCAGCCCCTAATTTGACCTGGAAATATTTTTACCAAAGCATTATTGTTAGTTCTGCAGAATTGAATTGTGCTAGAAATTGTGTTTGATTGTGTTATTTGTCTCTAAGTGTTTCAAAGCATTCCTAATGTTGTTTGCTTGGTTTACCATACTTATGTATGCTTATCATGGGTTCTGTTTCTTCTCTTATGTTTGTCTCATGCTCTTTTATGTAACTAACTTGCTTAGCAAAA